GCATTGTAGCTCCAGCTATTCGGGAGGCTGAGGCAGGAGAATTGCTTGAACCTGGGAGGTGGAGGTTTCAGTGAGCTGAGGTCGCACCACTATACTCCAGCCTGGCAACGGAGCAAGACTCTGTCTCAAAAAAGCCAAAAACAAAACCATACATAACTGCAGAAGTGAGGGAGGCGGAAAATGGCCCCCTTGAGGTGCATGCCGCAGTCACCTTGGCCAGGAAACCCCTCCGTGGCTATGCGTCTCCCCAAGATGCTCTTTGGCAACAAAGGACCAGGCAGGGCCTTTCCAGAGGAGAAGCCCTTGGTGTCTGCATGGTGGAAGTGCACCGCTGCGGCCCCAGGCAAACCCAGCCCTCTGAGCCAGCCAGACTCCCCCACCGTCCACACTGCCTCCTCGGCCAAGGTCCTGGCTTGCGGCGGCACCACACCCCTTCCCCAGATGTCAGGGTTCATCCTTGCGTCTGAGCCAGGCCTTGCCCCTTGCCTGCCCCTGGTGACAGTGGCTCCCAGCTCCCGCCCCAGGCTGGCCACCCCTTGGGCTGGAGCGTCAATGGTGGCTTTCACAGGGGCCTGGACAATGGCCATGTTGTGCTGAGGGCCAGGCCCTGGCCTCACTGTGAGGCGGGGCTGCCTGCCTCAGGCTCTGGACCCCATGCTTCTGCGGGGGCTTCTGTGGTTTCCCTGTGGTGCAGGATGGCCCGTCCTGGTGGTGCCAGGGAATGGGATGGGGTGCACGGAACCCAGGACAGGAGCTGGGGCTCTGCGTGGGGTCTGTCACCTCAGTTTCCCTGTCCATACAGTGGGGACAATGGTGTGTGGCACGAGGGCGCTATTGGACACAGTAGGGCATGGGGTACAGCATCACGAATCCCTTCCAGGCAGTCAGCATGAGGCCTCCAGTGGCCCTTGGGGGGACAAGGGTGCTTGAAGCCTGGCCGGAGGGGGTGAGGCTGTCCCTGGAGGGGATGGGTGTTTGGGGCCTGACCAGAGGGGGTGGGGCTGCTCCATGCCCCTCCCTGGGTGGGTGCCGGTTCCTGGCCCGCCGCAGGATCTCTGTCTCCTTCCTGTCGTGTTTATCTTGTGGGAGTCGGCTGTTGCTGTTGTGGGGCATTGGGGCCTCAGGGTTTGGGGCTTAGGGAGGGGGTGCCCTGGGGCTGATGTGACCCTGAGGGCAGGCCCCTCCTACAGCTGTGCCTGAGCAGCAGGAGCTGCTAGGACCCAAATGCCAGAAGACAGGTCCAAGCCCTTCATGGGGGCGGCCGGGTGCAGTGATCAGGGCCTCAGCTCTGTACCCAGAGGCCACCCCTCCCTGTGGAAGGCCAGAAGCACCATGAGATTTGGGGCCCGGCTCCCACCCCCGAGGGCCCACCACCCCGCGAACTAGCTGTCACTCAGAGCAGGGCCACGTGCCTCCCTGCCCCAGTTTACAAAAAATTAGCATATAAATTACATACATGAGGTGCGATTTACATCTACTTTGCATATCCTATTTAGAGTGCAGTTCCAGCTCTGACAAATCCAAGACACAGCAGCCTCAGGCCAGGTTTGGGGCTCGCGCTGCAACCCCAGCACGGTGGGAGGCAAGGCAGGGGAGTCACCTGAGCCCAGGAGTTTGAAACCAGCCTGGGCAATGCAGTGAGATTCCATCTCTACAAAAAATACAAAAATTAGCCGGGCATGGTGGCATGCATCTGTAGTCCCAGCTAGTGGGGAGGCTGAGGCTGGAGGATCTCTTGAACCCAGGAAGTCAAAGCTGCAGTGACAGCATCCCTGCACTCCAGTCTGGGTGACAGGGTGACACCCTATCTCAAAAAAAAAAAAAAAAAAAAAAAAAAGCCTGGTAAAGGGTGTGGGCTTTTTTACTTGAAGGTTGTTCCTATTTCCTTGGATTTCACTTCTCTCTGGGGCATGTGGTGCATGTGCTTCACTGTGGTGGAAGAAACGGCCTGGCTGCTTTTCAGGGACCATGCACCTTACATCTCCACGGGCAGCATGGAAGGACTAGTGTCCCTGCCCACAGCCGGGCATGTGTGTGTGTGTGTGTTCGCACGTGCACTGTTTTGGTCTTGCCGTTGTCATGGGTCATAGCGATATTGGGAATCTTTCCTGCTCTTAGCCATGTGTTAGGGGGAGGGGCTTCTGAGAGGAGGCATCTGAGTAGGGAATGGGATGTGGACTGGACCCAGCTCCCCACAGGTGGGACTACACCTGGCAAACATGGGACCAGCACAGAGTAGGGCCTGGGACACAGTAGGGCCTGATGTGCAGTGTAACCCCCCACCCCACACCACACAATAGGACCCAGCACACAGTGGGACCAGCACACAGTAGGTATTTGATAAATGCTGGTTGAGCCCTCTGGCCTCTGCCCCAGGACTCATGGGTCCTATAAAAGAAAATGGCCATCCTGGCCACAGCCCACATGACTGTGTCCAGGATACTGCCGTGTGAGGGGCTGGACTGGGGAGAAGCTCCTGCCTCACTGGCTGTTGCCAGTGCCACCTGTGGAGTCCACAGGAGGCTGCAGACTCCGCGGTCCTGGCCCTCCCCAGTGAAGCCAAGGGGCTGGGCAGGCATAGGGCGAGCAGAGGCTCAGCCTGAAATCTGGGCTGGGCATGGGGCAAAGTCTGGGATCGAGGCCAGCACTGTCCTGAAATACACTCCTGCGCCGTCGTCACCTCTGGAACGCGGCATCCTGGCACCTGCTGTCAGGATGACTGGCCGGGGTTCTCGCTGGTGCCTGCACCCCGAGAATACCAGAGCCACCTCATGGAGAGGGGACAGTGGCCTTCCTGGCCCAGAGGACTGTGCGCTTCCTGGGGCACTGCTGCCACCTGCTGGCCACAGTGGGCATGGCAGGGGCGCATCCCCACCTTGTGGTCTCGTGGCGAGAAGGGGACCTGCTGTGTCCTGGGCAGAGGTCTGTGTAGCCACACACACTGGACCCAGCCAGCTCCAGCCCCCGCAGGCGAGGCGGCCCCAGCCTGTCTGCATTGGTGACACGGATATGCACGCCTTGGAGGCTCCCTGGGGTGCACATGAGGCCTTGAGCTGTGGGCTGGGCCCTGGCTATGTCTGGGAAGCGCTGCTCGTTGCTGCTGCGGTCCTGCTTGGGCGCTTCCTGGCATCCACCTGTGGCCCTCTAAGTGCTGGAGAGATCCTGATGCCAAAAGCAGGGCCATGGGGACTCCCAGCTCTGCCTGGCAGCAGCTCACTCCGACAACAGGCCTTCTGAGCAGGCCCAGGCCCCACTTGAGCCTGGACAAGTGTAGCCTCACCCTCCCAGCAAGAAGGGGGTTCTTCCATGGGAAGGGGATTCCCGGCTGCTGCCATGTGCCCAGGACTGGAGCATGAGCCTTGCACAGGCTTGGGATGCAGGGAGCTCCAGGCTGTTGGGGGGAGCAGGCCTGATCTGGCACCGTCCAAGACAGCCCAGGCCCTCCTCCCCAATCCGACGGCACCAGCTGTCCCCTCCCAGACGCCAGGCATTTTATGGCTAGAATCTCAGCAGAGAAAATAGCCCGTCTCTGGTGTCGGATGGGGCTGTCTGAGCCAGGCAGGGGACGCTGGGGAGCAGGGGCTTTGTGGTCAGGGCTGAGGGGCAGTATCTGAAATCTGAGCCAGCCGAGGCTGGATCTGGCCTGGTGGCTGCAGAAGGCTGTTTAGCCCCACCTGGAGCCCACAGTCCCCCAGCCATGTCCCTGTGGCACAGGTCAGCAGTCCCTGCCCTCAGATGACCCCTCGAGGGGGCTCCCAGGCCATGTGGGCAGCAGGACAGGATGCTGTCCCCAAGCAAGTGCTCTCTGAAGTCGCTGTGGGGCCACGGATGGGCCCAGGGATACTCAGCAGACAGCCCAGTGACGCCAGGAGGGACCCATGGACGCTCAGCCCGTGGTCCGATGACCCTGGGAGAGGCAGCACCCACAGGGGACGCGCTCAACGCCAACCATGGAGCTGCTGCCGGTGGTGGACCTGCACGTAGCCCAAGGCCTAGCAGACAGAGCCCAAGGCATGGACGCTGCAAGCCACGTGCTCTCGGGGTGGGAGAGCCAGGGCCACAGAAGAACCTGTGCCTAAGCCTGTGGGACACTGAGTTCTAGAGCAGGAGAAAGGACAGGCAATGACAGGAACCACGGGAAGTGAGTGGGAGCGGGATCGCGGGTGACGGAAACGCCCCTGAGCAGCCACACATGGGTCACTAACCACAGCTCAATGGCGTGAAACCACACGTGTTTATTCTCCCACAGCTCTGGCAGTCAGAGCTCCAGGATAATCCCGCGGGCTCGAGGCTTGGGGTGGGCAGAGCTGGTTCCAGGCTCAGAGCGGGTCCGCCTGCCTCCCCCTGGCACTCCTGGGCTCAGCAGCCCCCTCCAGCCTCGGTTTCCATGGCCACGTCCCTTTCCCTCCTGTCCTCACGTCTCTGCCTGCCTCCTCCACCATCATCTGCCACAGCAAGGTCCAAACCATGCATGCATGGTATGTTCTACCATGGAAGGTGGCGTGTCCAGGTGCTGAGGCTCCAGAGGCCACCTGGACTGCTTTTCTATGGCTGTGTGATGTGTGTGAGGTCGAAGGTGGGGATGAGGGCTTGGGCTTGGGCTCCATTCAGAGTAGCTTTCCTGAAGAAAGAGAGGGTACAGCACCACGTGGACCTGGCAGCGGAGGACGCCCCGGGGGAGGAGGGAGGAGGCTGGCCTGGTTTTCTCAGGCAGCAGGCGGTCAGACCCAGCCCCGCCTCTGCCCATGGCACCTCCGGCCATGCCCACCCAGGGTGAGGAGGGTCCCTGGGGCTGGTAAGGAACAGCTGCTCCAAGTGCCGTTCGTCCAGGCCGTCCTCAGGCTGCTCTAGTCAGGGCGGCAGCCATCAGACCTGGTCCACCATCACCATCTCACTTGCATCCATTCTCCAATGTCCACCATCACTGTCTGCCCCACGTCCCGTGTCCCCTCTCCAATATCCACCGTCACTGTCTGACCCACGTCCCCTCTCCACCACAGGGTACCGCGAGGGCTTTCTCTGGAAACGTGGCCGGGACAACGGGCAGTTTTTAAGCCGGAAGTTTGTGCTGACGGAACGAGAGGGCGCTCTTAAGTATTTCAACAGAAATGATGTGAGCCAGGCACAGGGGTGGGTAAGGGGCCTGTCCTGGGGCAGTGTCCTGGCCTCCCATGCTGGGGCCGATGGTGGCCATGTCCATCCTTAGCTGCACCCCCCACAACAATGGGGACACTCCAAGAGAATCAGCCACTGTTGGGCTGTGAGCAGCTGAGGCTTTCCTGGAGGCTGGGCGGCCGGGCAGAGCCCCTGAACTCAGGCCCAGCTGTGGGAGGGGGAGAACTAGGTCACTGGGCCCCTCTGGAGCCAGCCAAGACCCCAGAAAGCCCCAACTTGCCTGGAAGTGCCCTGAGGAGGCTGGTCTGGGGACAGGACAAACTAGGACATCAGGGAGTCCGCAGGATGGTACCAGGTCCATGGGCTGAGGATCAGCAGGGTATCCCTGAGATGGCCCCAGGACCGTGGGCTGGTTGGAAGCACCCACCCTGAGCTGTGGCACACTACTGCTGGGCACTGGCCAGTGGAGGGCTTGTGGCCGAGGCCTGCCACCATGGAAGCTGCCATGCTGTGTGGGGCCTGGGGCTGCCCCTGGGGAGGGAGGCACAGTGTCTGATATCAAATGCCACCTGCACAGCGTTGTTTAGTCCTCATCATTCCTGGAAGGGAGGTGCTGTTACCTTCTGCTTACAGGGCGGGAGGCCGAGGCTTAGAAAGGTTAAATAACTTGCCCAAAGCCACAAAGCACAGCAGGTGGGCCACCAGCACCCACAGCGTCCACCCTTCCTGCTCCCTTGAGCTTGGACGGCGGCCCCTGTGAGGTGCTCAGACCCCACTCCTTCCCAGGCCAAGGAGCCCAAGGCCGTGATGAAGATTGAGCACCTGAATGCTACCTTCCAGCCGGCCAAGATCGGCCACCCCCACGGCCTGCAGGTCACCTACCTGAAGGACAACAGCACACGGAACATCTTCATCTACCACGAGGATGGGAAGGTGGGCACTGCTGGGCAGGCACTAGGGCCAGGGTGGCACAGGAGGGCAGGTGGTGCAGAAAAGTAGTGCTTGGACAGTGCGGGAGGGTGGGTACTGGGGCCAGGTTGGTATGGGAGGGAGGGCACCGGGTGGGCAGCATGGGAAGGCAGGCATAGGCACTCATACTGGGCAGCGTGAGAAGGCAGGTGCTTGGACAGTGTGGGAGGGTAGGCAGCATGGGAGGGCTGGCATCGGGTGGGCAGCTTGGGAAGGCAGGTGCGAGAAGGCAGGCCCCTAGGGCCAGACTGCTCCAGGAACCAGATCACCATGAGTCTTGGGGGCCACCCAGCCTGCCTGTCATTGGGCGGGGGGTGCCAGCTCGGGCTATAGGATCCACCACCCCCACAATGCCCAGACGGGCTTTGGGGGAACAAGGGTCCTGTGGGTAGAAGGGGACAGTTGGCCTTGGGGCTGGTTTGGGCATGTTCCTTTGGCCGCCCTTGGCTTGGTGGGGTGGGGAGGATGGGTGCACCCCACATCTCTGGAGGGCTTGTGGGAGAACCCAAGCAAAACTCCCACAAAAGCCATCCTTTTGTCTTTGGGCCAGGCTGCTGGGGAGCCCAGCCTCTTTGTTGCTTCAGTTCCCATTTCTATTTTTATCACACGTCTGTGCCCACATAGTCTGAAGCGCTAAAGCATTCCCAAGTCTTGAGAAGTTTGAGGCCCCTCCTAAGCCCCTTTGGGAATTTGTCCCCGTATCCATAAATAACCTGCTGGTGTCGCTGCAGTTAGCCGTTTTAGGCACCATGTGACTACTTCCCACGTGGAAGTCGAGGGTCCAGCTCTTTCCAGCCCCTCCCATGTGCCTGTTGCAGTCCCCCACCCACCGCACTCATGGCATGTTCGCTGGTGTCCGCACCTGGGGTTGATGTGATGGGACTGACATCGGGCGCAGCCCTTGGCCTCAGAGCATGCTGCAATCACTTTTCCCACAGCAAACGGCTGTGTTCTCTCTTGTAGTTGACCACGTGCTACCCCACACTCTCCACAGACTGTCTCTGAGGCAGCCAGGCACCAGGAGCCTTGCTCCTGCAGCCTCATCTCATCCCCACGTGGAGCTCTGCTGTCTGGTCTTTTTTCTTTGCTTGCTCCTTTCAGTGGAAGTGATGTGCCTGGAAGGACAGTGGCCTGTCACTTAGTACCTTGGAAAGTTCTGCTTTCCGCTTGGCTTAGACTGTGGCTAGATACAGAATCCTAGGTTGGAATTAATTTTCCTGCTAATCCTGAAGGCTCTGCACCACTGATTCTTCCCTCCCAATAAGCGCGTCCCAGAGTTTTGAAATTCTCTGATGCCGTGCGTGCACTGGTGAGGGTCCGTCTTTTGCTGTGCTGGGCACAGGCCTGGGATGGCCCTTCTAGTCCAGTGACTGCTTTCCATGAGGTCAGGGATTGCTTTCTTCAATTATCTAATAATTTCCTTCCTCCACTTTCCCTGTTCTCCTTTTCTGAAACTCCTGTTATTGAGATGTTAGTGCTCTTAAACTGGTTCATTTTTTTTTTTCTATTTTCTGGGAAATTTCTTCAACTTTGTTTTCCAACACGGTATTGAGGGGCTTCTGCTCTCACATATTTAATTTAATCAAGTCTTGCTGTGTCACCCAGGCTGGAGTGCAGTGGTGTGATCTCAGTTCACTGCAACCTCTGCCTCCCGGGTTCCAGTGATGCTCCTGCCTCAGCCTCCCAAGTAGCTGGGATTACAGGCATGCACCACCATGGCTGGGCATTTTTTTTTTTTTTTTCTTTAGAGGCATTGTTTTGGTTTGGTTGCCTGGGCTGGAGTGTAATGGTGTGATCTCGGTTCACTGCAGCCTCCACCTCTCAGGTTCAAGTGATTCTCCTGCCTTAGCCTTCTGAGTAGCTGGGATTACAGGCGTGCGCCACTACACCTGGCTAATTTTTTTATTATCATTATTTTTTGAGATGGAGTCTCACTCTGTCGCCCAGGCTGGAGTGCAGTAGCTTGATCTCAGCTCACTGCAACCTCTGCTTCCCGGGTTCAAGCAATTCTCCTGCCTCAGCCCCCCAAGTAGCTGGGATTACAGGCACGTGCCACCACACCTGGCTAGTTTTTGTGTTTTTAGTAGAGATGGGGTTTCACCATGTTGGTCAGGCTGGTCTTGAACTCCTGACTTCGTGATCCACTTGTCTCAGCCTCCCAAAGTGCTAGAATTACAGGCGTGAGCCACCGTGCCCAGCCCAGTGTTCCTCCTTTTTCAAACGTTTTTGGTTCATGATCTCAGTATCTTATCTCTACTAATGTTAATTTTTGAAACTTTCTTATCTCTGAAAAATGTCTTCTAAATTGCTGCCCCTGTGAACTGCCTTATTCCATGTGAGACTCTTTCCCAGATATCCTGGAATCTGGGCAGGTGGGATTCTCCAAAGATAATTCCCCTTGCCCAGGGCAGACGCTTGGCCCTCAGCTGAGGGAATTTGGGCTGCAGCCTGCAAGGTCACAGAACCCAGGCCTGTGAGTGCACCAGGCATGCCCTGTCTGCCCAGAGCCCCAGAGTCGTCTCCATCTCCCGCTGGGGGGAAAGGGGCAGTTTTCCAACCAGTTCTCTGGCTTACAGCCCCCTCCACTCCGGGGGACTTGGAGCTGTGACTTCCCAAGGCCTTTGGGGCAGTGAGGTGTGTTCCAGTTCAGCTTCCTCTACACAGAGAGAGGGCAGGGCCAAATGGGAGGGGGTGGGAGGGGCAAGTGGGGCCACTGGGGCTGGTTGGGTGGCGTGGGCGTGGTTTAGGAGGAGGGGCCACAGGAGAAAGCAGCAGGGCTGGAGGCCTATGAGGGGTGATCTTGGGGTGGGTGGGGCTTGTTGTGAGCAGGGCCACTGGAAGAGGGCGGGGCAGTGAGGAGGGCGCCGGGATCCAAGAGCCTGGGCCCATCCTCCAGCTCGTGCTGGGCCACGTGGCAGAAGCCACAACTGGATTAGTCCAGTGCTGGGGACTTTACCTGTGGGACGAAACTCAAGGCCAGAGCCGCTGGGACAGAAGCCTGAGGAGGCTTGGCTGGGAAAAGGGATGAGTCTCCCTGGCTCTTCCTGGGCAGGAGACGCTGGAGCCAAGAGTGACGATGTGGCACCTTTCCAGAGGCCACCAGCTCCCAGGTGTAGCGTGGACAGGAGGCCAGAGCCCAGGGCACAAGGTCATAGGACCGAAGGGGTTGGTAGATCCCAGGAGGGGCGCTGGGTCTGAGGGCAGGGGATAGCCAGGCTAAAGTCTGAACCCAAAGGACTCAGATGGGCTGGGTGCCAGGCCTGGTCCACCTCTGTTCTAGGGTGCTGGCCCAACCCACACTCTCCAGAGCACCAGGGCAGCTCCCTGGAAAGCAGTTCTGTTCTCCGACCACTCTCTAGGGGGCACAGCTCCAAGGGCATTTATAAACAGATGAGCTTCCCTTCCCCTACCACCCCAAGACTTGCATGAGCTACAAAATAAGAATCTTCCTAAAAATACCACCCGAAAGGCAGGCAAACTGGCCGAGGCCCCAGCAGTGCCAGGGCCATGGGTGAACTTGGATGGCAGCCCCTATCCCTATCCAGCCCTGGCCCAGCCCAGCCTCCCCAGGCCCTTCTCAGGACTTTGCTGGGGGAGGCTGCACCCATCCTCCTACAGCCTGTTTAGCAGCCCTGGCCTCATCACGGCCACATGGGGCCAGGCCTTCGTGCAGGGATTGCTGGGAGCCGAGGTGCCAGGGAGGAGGAGCTGGGCTCTGGAGGAAGCAGCGCCATGGGCACCCCAGTCCTGCAGGCCCTTCAGCTCAAGCCTGTGTCCACCTTTGCCCCTAGGAGATTGTGGACTGGTTCAACGCACTCCGAGCTGCCCGCTTCCACTACCTGCAGGTGGCATTCCCAGGGGCCAGCGATGCAGATGTGAGTGTCAGCTCTGGGGTGGAAGACGGGTAGTAGGGTGCGGGTGGACAGAGCCCTTGTGCTCCGTGTCTGGAATGACTTTGAGCCCTAGGGTGGGCCCGGGACTGGTCAAGGGCCCACCCTAAAGTGGCTGCAGCCCACCTGCTTCACTCTGGGAATTTCAGCTCAGCCGAAGGGGAAGGAGGGGAGCAAAGCGGTGGTGAGCATAGGCAGAGCCACAGACCCCGTGGAGGCTGTGCCTGGCCTGGGCCCTGCCCTGGTGGTCCGGAGTGAGGGGAGTGGGGAGGGGCTCAGCCTGATCCTCAGTTCTGAGGCCCCCCACCTGGTGTGTTCTGCCCCAGCTGGTGCCGAAGCTCTCTAGGAACTACCTGAAGGAAGGCTATATGGAGAAGACCGGGCCCAAGGTATGTGTGCCACCGCCTGGGGGTGGGGGGCGCCATGGTGGGTCTTGGACTGAAGCTGGGATCTTTCCAGCTGCTGCCTGAGTGTTTTAAACTGGTGTCAGGTGGGTCCTCACAGCCCCTTGTCTGTGCCCAGCTGGGGTCCCCGGGGACCTGAGCCACTGTCCTGGGCTTTGGTCAGACCATCCCTGCCCACTCAGCCTGACCAGTTCCCTTACCCACAGGACCTGTGCACCCACGTGGCCAGGGACCCACATCTTGCTACTCCCTAAGGCATGATGGGGGAGGGAGACACAAATCCCGAGATCCTCAGTGGTCCTTAAGGGAAGTGCAGGTGTGAGAGGCTCATAACTGAGGCTTGGACCCCCATGTGGGGTCCAGGGAAGGCTGGCGCAGCTGGAGCAGCAAGAGGGAGGTACAGCATGGAGGCAGGAGGACAGGCGTGACCAGTGGCAGGCGTGAGTGGGTGGTGACTGGCCAGGGGCAGCCAGGGCCCTGCCCTCCCAGGTGTGCTACACTGGATGCAGGACCTGCCTCGGCAGACCTGCCAATTATGGGTCCTCTGACCCACAGCAAACAGAAGGCTTCCGGAAGCGCTGGTTCACCATGGATGACCGCAGGCTCATGTACTTCAAAGACCCCCTGGTGAGAAGCTGGGGCTGCCAAATGCGTGACCAGAAGGGTGGGGGGCTTCCTGAGTCCTGGCCTGTAGCCTCCCCTGGCTCAGAGTGAAGCTGGGCCAGAGGGGACATGGCCCCAGCCCCAGCTCCAGCTTGGCCCCCACCCACAGGATGCCTTTGCCAGAGGGGAAGTCTTCATTGGCAGCAAGGAGAGCGGCTACACGGTGCTGCGTGGACTCCCGCCGTCTACCCAGGGCCACCACTGGCCGCACGGCATCACCATTGTCACACCCGACCGCAAGTTTCTGTTTGCCTGTGAGACGGAGTCTGACCAGAGGGAGTGGGTGGCGGCCTTCCAGAAGGCGGTGGACAGGCCCATGCTGCCTCAGGAGTATGCAGGTGAGCAGGACGGGCTGGGAGGGGGTTCCCGAGGCCTACCTGGGCTCCCAGCTCCCTGCGGCTGTGACAGAGCAGGACCTTGTTCCATTGCAGTGGAGGCACACTTCAAGCATAAACCCTAGCGATGTGGTTGGAGGCCCACGGACACTGGACTCACTGTGGCCGGACAGAGGGGACTCGTGGACGGGGGGGGGGGGTCCAGCGTCCTGAGGCCAGGCGGCTCTACCTGCCCCTCAGGGCAGCCCAGGCATGGCCAAGTAGGGCCCAAGCTGCAGCCTCCGGGACGCTGCTCTAGAACCTCACGGCAGGTGGCCGGGCCCTGGGCCTGACCTCTGACCCCATCATGCTGCTGCTGACCACACCCAGCCAACCTGCCCCCCACCTGCCCTGGGGTCCCTCTTCCTCCAGGACCCAGTCTGACTCCCATGGTCAGATGAAGCCCCCAGGAGCTGCCCACCATGGCTGAGGGAGCTTCAGGCCTCAGTGCAGAGCCCTGCCAGGGGTGGCACAGTGGGCGGCTGTTGACCGCTGCGGACTGGGCCCTGCTCGCATGCCACCCCACCCCTCCCCCACCTCCACAAGTATTTATTGAGCGCCTATTGTGTGTCACGGGGCCATGGGGGTTGTTGGGTGGAGGGGGCAGTCTCTGCACAGGTCCTGGGCCCTCCCTGGGCTATAGCCCCCACCCCGTGCTCCTGGTCCCAGGGCTGGAGGGGCCACCAGGCTGCCATCCCCTACTCTTGGCCTCTGTGTGCCCAGCACGGTGCTCGCCGACAGTAGGGCTTGAACCATTGAGGACCATGACCTGGGCCACCGTGAGGCCACCAGAGGCAGGAGTGGCCCTGTGGCCCCCTGCCTCCCCCTCCTGGGAGGCCGGGCACTGTCTAGCTTACTGCTGGCAGCCCGGCCATGTATTTATTTCTCACCTGATCTCCTTCCCATAAAAGCAGGCCAGGCTCTAGGGCTCCCCTTGTGTGGAGTGTGCAGGTGGGGGAGGCGTCTGCAGGTCAGCTGGGGGCCCAGCCCTCTCCTAGCCTTGTCTGGCTGAGCTGTGTTCCAGGGGAGCCCTGGACAAGCCCTCAGAGCCTGGGAGGGGGTTTCTGAGGCCGGGCATCCGCCACCCCATGTTGCATCCTGGAATAAAGTGTGGCTCTGGCATGGTTCCAGCTGTGTGTTCGAGGACAAAGTGGGGAGGAGGTGGCACTGGGAACATATGGCCCTGGCCCTGCTCCTGTGACTTCAGGAGAAACCATCGGCTCCCAGGGACCTGATGGGACCCTCGCTCCCTGTGGCCGAGTCCAGGTTTGGAGGGAGGGAGGATACAGTGTCTGAGCTGGTGAATGCCATGTTCCTTGTGCAGGGAAGATGGCCCCCACCCAAGGCGCTCCCCAGCACTCCTTCCCCAGCTGCCTCCATCTGAGGCCAACCCCAGGAAGTTCCTGGTCAGAGCCCACAGCCTGAAAGATAAGCCCAGCTCAGCATGAAGGAGGGTGCAGGGGATGCTGCCCAGGTAGTGGGTCCCCAGTGTCTGCCAGTTCCCCATGCTGGGCCTCTCAGCCCTCACACAGAACATGAGGACCTGGGGTTTGGGGACAGGGTAGAGGTCTCCCAACTCCAGCCTAGGGGTCCCAAAGGCAGTTGTGCTGCTGATGAGGTGTGGGCGAAGTACCCCCCACCTGGAGCTGGGACCCCAGGCAAGTCCCTCGCAGCCTCGCCAGGCACCACAGTCTAAACCCAGAGGTGAGGGGCCTGGGTCAGGGAGGACCCTGGGCTGCACTGGACGCACCCCCTGGGGGAAACCAGTAGTGACCACGGCCCTCCCCGAAGTGTGGACACACACATAATGTGAGTGTGTACATGGGTGTTCACATGTGTGCCGAGGACCATTACATTTTAAAAACCACAGAACAACTTTCTAACAGGGGGAAGGCATTTTTCAAACCAGGTGGGAGACACGCAGTCACAGGAGGTGGGTCCAGGCAGGGGCCGCTCACTGTCCACACCCACCTCCCTGTCTGGACACAGCTGTAGGAGGGGCATCCCCTGGCTGACAGCGTTCATAGCAGGTGCAGGGATGCAAGGTGACTCCACTGTGACGTCCTGGGGCAGGTAGGGGAGGATGCTGCGGTGCCGGCTAAGCGCAAGCCATGGGACCACCTGCAGGTTTCTGGCAGCTGTTCCTGCCATCTCACAGCAAGCCTGAGTGACATCACGCACACAATCCTCAGTCACTCTGAATCAAACTCGCTGCTCAAAGCCAGCGTTATACAGGAGGATGGGTGCCCCGCCAGTACCCGGGGCAGGGTAGGGGCTCCATGCTGCCGCCTCCCCGGTAGCCCACAGGTCTGCTCTTGCAGGCTCTGACACCCAGACTTGGTGGATTTGATTTTCATGAACTTCAATGAAATTACACAACTATACTTACTTCTAAAATCACAGCCAAGTGAACATGAGGCTTCCTGACGGACCTCTGCTCTTGTCCACACACGGGCAGTCTGGCCACAGGGCATGCCTTCTCTGGGGGCTCCCAGGCACAGCCCTGAGCGCAGAGGCCCCCACACCCACGGTGGGTGCCCGAGAAAGGAATGGCGTCGCACAGCCCGGTAAAAAGGGTTTATTTATGCGTAACGGTTCACACAAGCCTTCCTTAAATTCCACTTTACAGTAAATAAAGCTGTGCGTTTCCCCTTCCCATGCACAACTGCATATCAATCTACAACTGTCATTGAATCGTGAAAAAATAGAGCGTCTCCCCTTTTGTCATTGTTCTGGCAACATCTGGAAAAGCATCCATGATAGAGAACAGGGCTGCTCACTCCTGGACTGGTTATTTGGTTAAAACCTAAAACGTTAGGTCAAAGGAATCAATCACCCAATACAAATAAATATTGCATTATGAAAAAGATGGGCAGAGTCCCATGGTATCCCTTTTTAAAGCGGCATTTCCAGCACAGCAGCATGGCTCTCACAGAGACCAGCAGGGCGCAGCTCCGGGATGCCACGTGGGCCATCCCACCGCACGTGTCCCTCCACTGAGTGTGAGGATGTGGCGCAGGGCACATGCGCTCCGTCTGCGATGGGGACCAGTTCGCCGAGACTGCAGAGTGACCTGTGTTCAGAAACAGCTGCACGCATCTGCAGACCACACAGGGCCCAGCTGGGTTCTCACGTGTGAGGGCCAGCACCTGCTTTGGCGGCCACAGCTGCTCTGGACGCCAAGCAAGGAGCGTGATGTGCCAGGTCCCTGAGGACGGGCCTCCTGTGCTGCCCCTCAGCCCTCCCGAAAGGACCCAGAACAAAGGAGTGGGAGAGGGGACGCCGCATAAGGCCTGTGCTTTATTGTGGGTCATCTCGGGGGACGCAGTGGCCAGCAGGGGCAAGGCCCCACTCTTGGGTCCCAGCAGCATAGCAACTGGCAGGCACGCCACCCGGAGCCGCCGCACAAACAGACGTGCCACAAACAGACACGTGCCGGCACGCGGCCACTGCCAGCCTCAAGGCTAGGAGCCCCCGGGGCCAGGAGCCACCCAGGACTCGCCTCCAAAATGTCCCTCGAGCCGCTGTTGACCATGGTGTCTCCACGTGGCCCGGCCAATTCAGTCCAGCTCGATGGGGCTGCCGTCGCTGGGGCTCTCCTCCCCCTCCTCCTGCTCCGAGGAGCCCATAAGGCTGCTCAGAAGGTTCCCTGGAAGGAAGGACACCATGGCGGTCAGGCCTAGGCAGCCTCCTGCCAGCCCCCAAACCCCTCCTTCCCACAGACGCCTCACCAGGCATCCCAAGTGACGCGTAAAAGCCTCACAACACTATGTATGTGGCCCATGAACCCGAGGACAGGGAACCGATGACCACAAAGAAATACTCAAACACGGAGCAGCCATGGGGGTATCCACAGAACAACCCTCCACGTCCACGGAGCAGCCACGGGAAGGGGGGGAAGTCCACAGAACCACCTTTCACGTCCACCAATGGGGCCGTGGAGTGGCCATGCAGGCCTACAGAGAGGCCCTCCACATCCTCCAACAGGAGCCACAGAGGGCCCTACAGAGCCGCCAACACGACCTCATGTATACTTTTCAACAGAAAAGTGCTACCGTAGGGCACATGCACCACATCCTTACAGTGACCTATTAATAAACTGGATGAGCCAAACCTTCAACGGCTGCTCACAGGGGCCAACTGCAGTCACTGTCACCTGCAGTTGGTGAACCACTCTGTACATACAAAGCCAGAGTTCAAAAGTCTCCTGAAACCAAACTGCTGGAAACCGGACAAGTCAGACGTTTCTCTGAGCACACAGCCGGCCCTGCAAAGCGACCCCTACCAGGAAGTGTGAGAAACCTCAGGGATGGGGAGCTCTGGAGCAGAGATAGGGCTGGGAGGCACCAAGCTAGAATTCTCAATTCTGAAATGTAATTTTCTACTAACAAAAGGAAACTGAGAAACACTGAAAAGAGCAAAGAACCACTGCTATGTGAAGGACTGCAGAGGACCCCACACCGACCCAGGGTTGCAGTGGGCGTGGCGAGGGCACCTCAGCTTACCGAGCAGGCCTCCGTAGGAAGATGTCTGCTTGGGCGGGACACCGAAGAACAGCTGTCCTATGCGGTCGAGGTACTGCAAGGCATGGGCAGCAGGCTCAGGAGAGGGCGGACCCAGGCTATGGGGTCCCAGCCAGGGCGGTGCAGCCTTGAGGGCCCCTCCCCATTCCAGCCCCAGCCCTCACCTCGTTGTACATCGGGTCCCGCCGGAGGGATGGCTGGTACTGCTCACATAGCACGGTGAACACCGTCAGCTTTCCGCTGGGACACAAGGACACAGGGAGATGCTGGGGGAGCAGGAGAGGGCCACACGCACCTGCACACGCACCTGCACACACTGCCACATCTACACCCAACACTCACCTGCGCACACACTTGCAACACCACTGCGCCTACACCCATAGATGGCAACACGCACCTGCACACACACCCCTGCACATACTACTACGCCTACACCCAACACTCATCTGCACACACCCACACAGCTACCCATGTCACGCCTACAACACCCATACAGCAACCCACGCCACCAAGTCTATACCCAAACACTCATCTGCACACACCCACAGCTACCTACGCC